GCTCGCAGCCGCAGTCCCCGGGCGGTGGGGACCTCAGCACCGCCGTGCAGAGCCGGTTTCCAGGTTCAGCCTGGCCTGTCACACGTGAACATCTCAGGCTCTTTCAAGCCGGTCCCCTTTCTAGCGGGCAGACACGTCCGGGGGGTGAGGTGCCCCCTAAAGATTCAGGCTCGCCTCCTCGCCGTCTCTGACCCTGACTCCCGTGACTTGGAAGGTTGGCTTGTGGGCGCTTCTTTAGACCGTGTCCCCGCTGGGATTAAACGGGCACCCCCGGAGCACCCTCGATCCAGGTCGGTCTGTGTGAAAGCGGTGCCCTCCTGAGATGAGGGCACAAACCCGGGAATGTCACCTCTCCCTGCTCCTGGGTAGCCCGGCGCGCCGGTCGCTCGAACGTCCGTGCCTGGGGCGGCAGTCCCTTGGAGGACAGCAGAGCGGGGGGTGGTGGTGGTGGTGGGGTCTTCCCTGGCTTTAGTGTGGGGGGCGCTGCTGGGGAGAGGGAGGGAGAAACCGCCCGGAGCCCTTGGGGGCACAGAGGGTGATGCTATTGCCTTGGCCCCTCGGACCTCCTGGGCGTGGGAGGCAACGACGTTGGGCAGCTCTTGATCGCGCGTGGAAAGCCCCCCTAGCTCCTCGGGACCGGCGCGGGCGCCACGCGGAGGACACAGCACAGGCTTGTGTGAGATGGAGATTTAGTCATCGCTTCCCCGCCGCTGCTCGCCCCTGCCCTACCCTGGACGGAAGGGTCCCCTGAAAGCTGCCTTTGTGCCGCTGGCCTCCAGCAGACAAGGTTTGATTCACCTGAAAACTGCCTTTTAGAAACGTGGCGGGGCCCGAGCTCCAGGGGCTCCGGCCCGGCCTCACTGCCTCTCGGATCGCGTGGCAGGGGGCAGGAGGACCTCAGCTAAACGTGTCAGGGCATCCGATTTATTATTCTTGGCTCCTGGGTGGTTTCTCTTCCTCCTCACTCCTCCAGCCATCCTTTCACTCAAGCATTGCGCTCGCGCCTGCGCCCCCTCCCCCTCCTCTCCTCTTCTTGCGTGTCCAGCTGGGGATCTGAGTCACAGGTCCATGGGAAGAAGGATGCCGATGCCGGGCACCAGCACAGCCCCCTAGTTGCTAATCCCTCTTCCAGCCGGCGCCCACCTGGAGCTCAAAGTCCACTCCCTCCACCCCACTGAGGACCCACGGGGCTAGAAGCCGCTCACTGGCTGGGTGGGGACCGGGACCCGAGTGTCAGTGTGTCAAGTGTCTCCGATTGCAGTGTCGGAGCCCCTGTGTCTGAAGGAAGAGACAGGAAAGAAAGTTGGCCGTCCATCCGTTCCCACCTCCCTGAGCGAGGACAGAGGTGCGGGACGCTGCCCGGGGAGGCTGCCCAGGGAGGCTGCAGCGAGCGGCCGGAGAGCGCACCTCTAGGATAGGACCTTGGAGGAATCGCGGAGTCAAAAGGCAAACTGCTTCTCTGCCTTAATCATCTCCAGGCCGGCCGAGTCAAAGGCGCCCTCTGGTTGTGTAGCGGGGATGAGAGAGGGAGTGGGTGGGACTGGGATGAAATTCCAATTATTCTGTGGGAGTGGGGCGTGGAGAGAGCTCCCAGAGCAGGGGATGCTCCTTCCCTCTGGAGTCTGCTTTGGCTGCTGGGTTTGCTGGTGCAATCCTGGGAGAGGGGCGACCCCTTGCGTCCTCCGAGGGGACACGCCAGACTCTCTTGGCAGGTGCAGTATGGGTTTTTGTTGTTGTTGTTGTTGTTTTGGAGAATGGGGAAGGGGTGGTGGGGAAGGAGAGATCTTTGTTAAATGTCCAGAAACTCAAGGCCAAATTGCATGTGCACATATTCATTTCTTTAAAAATCTCTGAAAGAAACACATAGAGACTTTTTCTCAAGGACTAGGAAAGGTTTTCTGTAATGAAAAGTAAGGTAATAGTCAAAGGGATTTTAGAAAGTGGTCTCTCCTGTTTTTCAAAGAGACAACTTCAGTGAATGTTTCAGAGTGCCCCTTCTAGACTGTAGTTAAGTAGCGTCACTTCCTTAAACTCTTATGACATGAGAGAAAATTGAACTAAGAACTTACGGTCTTTTGAATATTTTAGTAGAAAGTGTCTTGCACAAAAAGATATTCATTTGTAGTGTTAAATGTCAAGTTGAAGGAACCATGGTTAATCCTCAGATATAGCAAATGAAGCCATATCAGGTATTTCCCTCCTTCCCCCACACAACTGCTACAGCCTTCTCTCTATGTTGTTTCAAACTAATGATATTGTTTCCTCTTATAAAAGAGACATTTCACACAGAACTTTTAAATATATACTATATTGAATTATGGGTTGATAAATACACAATAACGTTTTCACCTATTAGGATTCATATCCAGTTCCTAGAGATGACTAAATTGAATTTATTTTAAGTAACAATGCAATTGTTACTTAAAAATTCCCAGGTAGCAATGTTTTCAGAGGTAAGCATTAGGATGCTAAATCAAGAACCTGAAACTCAACTTTTCATTTTTCTCCAACTCAGCCTTTGCAACTTAGTACAGTCAGCTTCTGAATTCCAGGTTACCTGCTAATAAAATTGATCTAAAGAGGCGGGCATTAATATTCTCATTTTACAGAGATTGAACCCAAGAAACAGAGGCTAAGTAAGCTATACAAAATTATACAGTTAGTAAGTGAAGCTTGTCCCCTGCTATTTATATGATATGCTGATTCATGTGTGAGAGAAGATGTCAGGCATGCTAAGTAATCTTATGGTCTCTAGACCATCATTTATCCAATATGTTTGGAGAATACGCTGTTCTGCTTGACTGGAAGTTTTTGAAATGATATTTGTATGTATTATACATTAATGACCAATGTCAAAGAATTAACTAACGAGTAATAATAGTGAAGCTTGTTAAAGATAATATAATATTATTTGGTTATTCAGAAGTAATTGCAGGATCATATTATGCCAGAAGACTATTGTTAGAAACATCAGTTGCCACTGTAGTATTCTTTTTTGTAATGCCATGTACTAATTGGATTTTAATTTTTTAGATTTCAGATAAATGCAAGATTTGAAAAGCCATTGTATGAGTAATAATTACAAAGTATCCATTGCACAATCTATAAAGCTTTTGAATCTTTCATAAAGGTGTTTTAAATAAAGGAGTAAGAATACAAAGGGAATATTTTTAATGGTAATAAAATAAAAACAGGTTCATTGGAATATACTGGTTATTGCTCATGACATTGTTTCAGATGTCGAGCCATTCTTTGAGATTCTGATGCACTCTTGGTGATTACACCCTAGTCTTGGAAAATAACAAGTTAACAATAAGGTGGGAAAATCTTTTATTTTGTTCTGAATTTTGTAATATTACTTTTAAATGAAAGTATGGGTTGGATATTGGCTACAATACATTTTCTCACCTGTCTACTTTTGTTAACAGTCTACCTTGTTGTTAAGAGAAATTTAATAGATGGTGACAGAGTAAAATTTGCTGGAGAAGGTATATTCTGCAACATATCATGTGCTATCTGTGTGAATCACAAATTCAAACTCTTAGTAATGACATCTAAATATATGCAAAAGACTTTTAGTTTTGTGCATTCTAGTTTAATCATCATTAGACTATCAGATTATTTTAAACTATTAAATTAATTATTTTATAGTTTAACAGAAGGATTTTACCAAGAACATTAAGGGTGATAATTTTTAAACATTGTCTTTTTAGTCCCAAGTTATTCTACATAAAGTAATTGAGAATATAAGAATGACTGTGAAATTGATTTAATGTCATCATGTCTATATTACTTTAAGCATGAAATATGAACAGTATTTCAATTTGTAAGTAGGTAAGTTTTGCTAACTCATTTCCATTAAATATTTCCCTGGCATTTAATATTCTACAAATTAGATCCCCAGAATGCTATGAATGGAAATTACAACATGTAGTTAAAATTGATTTTCAAGTTATTATGGAGAGACCCTTGCCACACTACTACAAAACAAATTTATTAGTCATCTGATCATTTTAAACTATTTTTTAAAATATATTTTTATTGATTTCGGAGAGCGGGAGAGAGATAGAAACATCGATGATGAGAGAGAATCATTAATTTGCTGCCTCCTGCATGCCCTGCACTAGGATCAAGCCCACAACTGGGCATATGCCCTGACCAGGAATAGAACCTTGACCTCCTAGTTCAGAGGTTGACGCTCAACCACTGAGCAATGCCGGCTGGGCTCATTTTAAACTATTTGAATCTGAACAGATATCTTTAAATTGCTACTAAAAGTCTAAA